AACAGGGCTTCTCCCCACCTAATTCTGAATAATGAAGGAGTTCCGTAAGAACAAGACAGTAAGGAAAATATTTCAGATAGAAGAAATAACATATAATGGCAGAGTTGTCAAATCGTTATGGGAGGCATACATGGCAACGGACAGATCAGGAAAGAGGTTTTTTTTTGTAGTTCTGTAAAGAGTGGGTTTTTCATCTTGAAAGAGAAATCAATGAAAAGTTCTTAGCATATGAATGACAATCAGATGTGCACTTGGATATCAGAGTAAAAACTGAGTAGGAAAGGGTCATGACGGAGGGTAGAAAAACTAGTTAATAAACCTCTATGAAAGTTAAGAGGACAGTTGGTCAGGCTATGAGAACAAAGACTTATATTTCACAATTTGCATTTGGTTTCTAAGTGAATGGGGAGTCTGATAAAACCCAGAAAAGGTATGAGCCTCCAATTTCAATTTTGTATCAAAATCAGTGATGGTGCCACCACAAAGTCTGCCAATGCGAGGAGCTCAAAGGGCTGAGACATCAACCACAAAGATAAGAAATGTAATGTGTCTGGAGAAACACTACAACCATTAAATTGAACTGGAACCTTCTTAACAATGTAACAGCATCATGATCTGGACTCTATAGAATTTTGAAGCAAGTATCTGGAGACCTAAGGGTTGGTTTTTGTTGTTAAATTTGTTTTGTGATGTATGTGTTTCCCTTTGTTATTTTTGGCTTTGGTTCTGTTTCCTTTGTACAAAACATACACTTCTCTTAGAAGTCATACTGCTTATTATTACACGTGCTCATTTGACTCTCAATTGGGAATTTCTTTTTCTCCTGGTGTTATCTTGCACTAGTGGTTACCTTCCACATGTTAAATTTTCATTTCCATATTACTTGTATACTGATAAACAACAATTTCCTTAAAGCCACGTAGCATGCTATAGCATTTCTATCACTTAGAATGTTTAATAACTTTCCAAAAATTATGTAGACCTATATGAGTCCTTTTCTTAATCCATCTGGCCCCTCTTGACTCTCTTCTCCACCCCTCATCAAGATAAGGAAAGAGAATTTGTCCAGAATTCAGATATTTATGAAAAAATAAAATGTTTGGGTCTCCAGATTATCTGGCAAATCAAGTGAAAAGTGAAACTAGCTCCCCAAAATGACCCCTTTATAGGTTACTTTATCATTGGGTTGTATTCACAGCTCCCCACCCCAGTTAATGAGTAAATCTTATTTCCTCCTCCCTGTTGCCCTAGGAAGAGAATTTCCATCCTCTCAATCTCAGACCACTATTCTCATTCGCAGTTTTGCTTAGATGTTTTTTGAACCAGTCCTTCCCCCTACGTAGCTTAAAAATTTAAGATGGTAATTATCAAGCCCTCAAGTACCCTCAAGAGCTAGGTAAAATCTTCCTCCTGGGTGTCTAGGAGATCTAATCTAAAAAAACTCCTTATCTTTGATGTATTGTGGGCAACACAAAAATTGATTTGAAGCTTGCATTTTACTGTATATCTGTCTAAATATTAAAATGCTTTAATTTAGTCATCACTTAAATTAAGTTCTGGTCAAAAATTTCCAAAAAACTGTTCTATCTTGAAGCTTCTTTACCCTCCAGATACACCACTACAGACTGGAGTTTAAATACTCAACATAAAAGATTACTACATACGTCACAGTGTCCTTTACAAAAAGTAACACAGCCGGGTGCGGTGGCTCACACCTGTAATCCCAGCACTTTGGGAGGCTGAGGCGGGCAGATCATTAGGTCAGGAGTTTGAGACCAGCCTGGGCAATATGGTGAAACCCCATCTCTACTAAAAATACAAAAATTAGCTGGGCACGGTGGCACATGCCTATAGTCTCAGCTACTTGGTAGGGTGAGGCAGGAGAATCGCTTGAACCCGAGAGGCGGAGGTTGCAGTGAGCCGACATCACACCATTCACTCTAGGCTGAGTGACAGAGTGAGACTCTGCCTCAAAAAAAAAAAAAATTAGTAATACTTTTGAGGAATACATTTAAAATGCTACAAAACTATATAAAAACAAAAGTACAGACATGAACCCAGGATTCAGTTAAAACTGAGGAAATACTAAATTCCATTTAGAGCTTAGTAAAAATAAATTTGTAATTATTTTCCCATCCAAGTTCAAAGACACTTTATCCTTAAGAATCCACCTTCCGCCGGGCGTGGTGGCTCAAGCCTGTAATCCCAGCACTTTGGGAGGCCGAGACGGGCGGATCACGAGGTCAGGAGATAGAGAGACGATCCCGGCTAACACGGTGAAACCCCGTCTCTACTAAAAAATACAAAAAAATAGCCGGGCGAGGTGGCGGGCGCCTGTAGTCCCAGCTACTCGGGAGGCTGAGGCAGGAGAATGGCGTAAACCCGGGAGGCGGAGCTTGCAGTGAGCTGAGATCCGGCCACTGCACTCCAGCCTGGGTGACAGAGCAAGACTCCGTCTCAAAAAAAAAAAAAAAAAAAAAAAGAATCCACCTTCCAAAGGAAAAAAGAAAATAAGTACTAACACTAAATGAACACTGTTGCAGGATCTCTGATAATCACTATGTACACTTCGTGTCATTAAACCATCACAAATACTACTGCACAGATTAAGCTGCTTAAGGAAGTTATTTGTATAAAGTCATGTGACCAAAAATACATTCAAACTATAGTGTGACTCCAAATGAAGATTGTGACAAAGCACCTCAAAAAAAATTTCCAGCCTCTAGTTGAGGAATCATTGAGGAACAGTCTACTGATAACACTATAATTCATTAATACTCCTATTAAACAACTTTCTGTTTGGGCAATAAAAACAATGTTTAGTTAAAATGAAAATATAATACTTCCTAGAGTTCCACGTGGGATCACCATCATCAACATCTTCACTAGCTAACCCAAAGGAAAAAGGTAAACACAAAAACTCCCCACTCTTATACCAATATAAAAGTTAATTTTTTGAATCCATTTTCCAACTATGTCACACACAGTTGTTAGTATCCTTCTAAGGTGTATATATGCCTATGTATATTTTTTAAGTAAACTTGTAAACTCGTGGTAACTAGGGCATATTTTATTCAATCTATGGCAGCTTCTTGGTTTATCCAACTAAGTATTACTAATTCCATTTTCTTAGAATGAGAAGTTCTTAGAACAATGATCTATCACCTAAATTTCAAATGAATGTATAACTGGTAGACAAACATAAAGCAGACTTTCTAAAACTATTAACAGTGCTCAAGAATGCACCTATTTTCATCTCAAAAATTTCTTAGTTACTATAGGCTACTCTAATGAAAGCTATATTCAAATTATAATTTTTTCCCACAATATGCCAATAGATTAGGAATTATAAACAGACAGATCTGCATTTGAATCCTCAGTCTGTTCTTTAGCGGTTGGTTATCTCTGACAAATTACTGTAAACCTCTTTAGGTTTCTAGGTTTTATATTATCAATCATCATTGGTAACTGATGGTACTGAGAGATCCTCATTATGTAAGGATTGAAAGAAAAATGGTTGTAGCACTAAGAAAAGTAACAAACATTATTCATGCGATTTCCTTAACTTGGGTTTTACTTTTAAGTTGTAAATTTTCCCTTGGCAATGTTCACAGAGTATCTTTGCTAAAATATTATTTTTCACTTAGTTTTAAGCTGATTCTTTAAATAACAAATGATTTGCTCTAGAGATGGATTTTCTTTCTTTGGAAGAAGCCAAGATCATCTCCATTTAAGGGCACATAAGCAGCTGCTGCTACACATTTTAGTTACCCATAAGAAAGTGAAGTGGGCTAAGTTCACTCTGTCATAAGCATTTAAAAAATTAAAGATTACAAGTACCTCCTCTAAAATTAAAGAAGAGATTTAAGAATTAATATTTTCAAGTGTGGTGACTTAAGTAAATCTAACATGTAAGACAACAAATTAGATAAACAGAGGAGAATGATGCCCGGCTTTACAAAAAAATTATTTCCCCATTTCTACTGTAAGATAAACTGTTCTAGGAAGTTCAAAATATCCTCACTTACTAGTATCTCATTTGTATAGTAATTTTCAGGAAAGCACCTGCTAGATTAAATGAGGCACATCCTTTTAAAAACATTACAAAACTTAAATTTCAACACATCAAACCTATAAAGCCTCATTAACTGATATGTAACTGATTTGGAATCTGTAATTATTTCTTTTTTGCTATAAAGTTGCCCTTAATACTGCATCTGTTTATAAAAAATTTATTAAGATTGTGTAACAATTTAATGCAACTGTTTAAAAAAATCTTAAATACTTAAAAGTAGCATATTGTTATTTTGGGGGGGATTATATGTATCAGTTTAAATATAAGAATTACCATTCACAAATATATTGTTAAACTGCTAATTGAAGAAAACACAAATGAATTAAATACATTTATTAGTTCTTTAACTGTAAGATAAAAATCATTTTTTAAAACAAAAAGCAGTTACTAGCCTGATTTCCTCATACACACTCCTTCTTCCATACACACAACAAAATAAGAAAATAGGTATAAAATTTGATTGTGTAAAAATATTTCACTATTGTCTTGTTGAAAGCTAACATTATGAAGACGTGGTATTAAAGCAACAGCAGCAAGAATTCAATGAAAGTTGTTTTGCTTATACTTGTGTTTATTTTTCTCATAATTAAAATTCCTGTAGTAACTATTTTGGCTCTTCAACATCTTCACCATTAATATTCAATTATCTCTAAACCTGAAGATGCATGAATCTTTAACAAAAGCTTTCTACCACCTCAAATTTACTTTTTTTTTTCATTTATCTGCCATATACTGTTTTAAATTAGAAACAAAAGATGAAGCACAAAGTGTTAATGACTTTTCCATACCTAAAGTAAGAAGTTCTAAAGTTTGGTTGTGCTGAGACTAAGACTATGGCTAACCAATCGAAACTTCAGAATTCCTATGTGACATCATAAGACCTCCCTAGAACACTTTTTCTCCTCCACCTACTGCAACTGTTCCCATAAACCGGGTGACAGAGTCAGAAAACTCCCCAGCTAAATACCCATAAGACTTCATACAACACAATACTCTATATTGTGATGATCACAGCAGCCAAGGTAAGAAACAGATTTCACTGACTTTGGTAATTCTTACTTTCTGTAATTCTTTAATTCCTATAATTTCTATAATCTGAACTTTTAAGATAAGTTACTTTTATTAATATCAGTTCAAACTTAAGCAATAAAATGACATGACAAAGTACTTAAATTTATAAATGCTTATCCATTTAGTGACAGTAAAAATGAGACAACTTTGAAATGAAAAAGGTCATATTCATCTTTGATCCTGGTTATTTGTTTGTCATTTTAATTTAACTTTCACTTTTATTTTGCTTTTCAAATGTGAATTTCTGCCAATTAAAAAAATCTTCCAATTATGTTACCATATTTGGCAGCAGTGGTTTAATTTCTCCACACAAAAACAATGACTTAATTTTGTTATTTATTGCTCTGCTGAGAAACAGTGCAGAACTGAGTTATTTACATTTGAACTAATATGAATAGTCATTTGACTACAAACATGCATATTATCAGCATGCCTACTGCAATATCATCATAATTTCATACAGTGAATAATAATGAAATGGAGCTTAAGAATATATAATACAAGCTACTTTTAAAGTGCCCTTGAGGATGTTTCCCCTCTAAAGTCCAGTCACCTTTTAAGAAACATTTCTAAAAATTCCATGCTGTTAATAAATTGAGTTACTGATATTAAATTCAATATTGTATCATAAAGAAGTTTAGAAATTTTAAAACACTTTTCACAAACACACAAAAATCTGTTAGAGAATAGACACTTTAAAAAGTTATTTTGACACATGAATATTCTTAAGTATCTTATTTTCACACAAATTTGATTAAATGGATTTCTGCCTATTAATGCCTATAATTTTGTCAAGTTATTATCCTCCAGTGTTACTCCATTTCCTCTCTGAGATTTAGAAAGACAGGAGAAAATAAAATAAATGCCAGGAATGGAGATGCCACAATCAATTTTATGACTTCCGTTTGAATTCTACCCTATTCTTTAAGTTACAATCCTCAATTTAGTAAATGAAACGTTTCCTCATTCTCAGATCTCTGTCAGGGCTTACAGAAAATTACATATATTTTATTTATTTTAACTTTCATATTTTATATATATGTTAAAATTTACCTCTAAAATTCTCAATTCCCATGACAAATGTTAACTCTCTTGCTCACTACAAATACGAACTTTGTAATTCTGTAAGCGGTTTTCCTTAAGACATACAAAAACATAATTTTTGTCTACCATTGAGGTATCCTAATTGCATCTCCATTATCTCTATACTCATAATTTTGCTATTACACAAAAGTCATTCAGTGTAGGTGTCTTATATGCTTATTTGTGCATTTTTATTCAAATATCAAATTACATTCTCACACTTCAAATTGGGTGTTCATGAGTTATTTTATTGTATCAGAATTTCGCTTTATCACATATTGCTCTAAAAAGTACACAACCTCTGGATAGAGCAGAAATTCTATTAAAGTTACCCTTAGCTCACTAGTATGTCTCAGTTAACAGAAATTCCAGTTACAGAGACCGTTAAAATTTCAAACATAATGTGGTAGTACCATACATTATGTCCCAAATAGTTCATCTATACCTTAAGTTGCCAGTTAAGTATTGTCTTTGTTTATGAAGACATGTGGTTTAAAAATAAGTGCTTAAAAAAGTGTTAGATGAAATAAATGGGAAAAATATAAAATGTTTAAATTAAGAAGTGTTAAGTTTTATAAACACATGAAAGAGTCAGAGTACATGCTTTACTAAAAGGCGTGACAGCACTATCATTTCCCAAAATCAAATATCAAATCTATTTTATTTGTATTTTAGTAGGCATAAAGGAAAATAATCGCATTTGGGTATATAATCATATCTTTAATTAGCAAGATTAAGAAACAATAAGAAAATATTGCATAAACACAATGGTTTCAGAAAATTTTAATGTATTTTAATGTTTTAATGTACTAATTACACATGTAATACTAAATTATGTAATATATTAAATTTTTAATTTAAAAACAAATTTAAAGTCTAGTTACCTCTCTAAATTAGACAATATATTACCAATCCCAGAAATGAGGGGGGCCAATTAAAACTTCTTCTTAAAGAACAATTTCCTAATGTACTGGTGTACACAAATATTTTATTTGGTCCTCTTAATTATATATTTGATACTGCGTCCCTATTCTACAATTTAGGAACGATGCAAAAAGGTGAACTGCTCAAGATCACATAACTAAGAAAACAGGGAAACCTTAGCAGAAGTTTAGGTTTTGTCACTAAGCCACATGCACATCCTCTATATATTGACCAGCATGGCTTGAAGTAAATTGTGACACTGATAAACCAAATTTGAAAGCCCCCAAACACTGTAAATGATACTCTAAAAGGCAAATTCAGAGAATACAAACTTCTATTTTAATTTAAAACCATTCCATTTCACTTAAATTCAATTTATACATCAGGCATTACATTCTTAATAGCCTAAATTATATTCTACTGATCATTTTCAAAACCAGAAATATACGAACATTACAGATGTCCTTAGTTGTTAAGCAAAATAACTGCAGTTAGATAAAATTCAAACTAACTGCACAGACTTCAAAAAACCGTAACATACCCCAATCAATCAAAGTTTCCTTTTATTTGTTTCATTGCTAAAATACTCATGCCTTCAATTCATCTGATACCTAAAATCCAAGTTAATATCTCCTCAAAACTTTCACAAAAACCACATTTCGATACTTTATTCTAGGTTCCCTATTAAATCCTCAGTCCTCAGCATTCCTCAGTTTTATTTCTGAATTACCCCTCCCCATACTCTACCATTTTAAATATCCAAAACTATTTGTTTTGACATGTTTAATCAATCTTGCTTTGTTATTTGCTACAAAAATCCCTAACTTTCATCAAAACTGTGAATTAACAAAGAAATGATCATACTAGCAAAGTAAACCTAAAGGTAGAAAAATCAAGAAAATAATCCTTCTAAATTACAGTGGCATAAATTAGATAAGATGTAGTCTCTTTGTATATTTGCAGAAATAGCACATCAAAGTTCTTACCCAGAATAATTCTGAAGCATGTGTTACCAAATAAACACATGAAAATGAAGCCTGGATGTACAGCATACTCATAGTCAACTGAGGACCTCTAGTGCCTTTGAAAAGGTACTCCATCTTTAGTTTTCAACCCCCATCCCCTGCTCCCCCCGCAAAAAAAAGGTTGACCAATACACTCACATTAATAGGGGGTACATTTATTAAGTGACATTCATTTCTCCTTAAGCCTTTCTCAATACTACCCCCCCATATTCTCTTCCCCCCAAAAAGATTCTGAAGTTCCAACTCCTACAGGGTTAAGAAGAGTATTTTACTTGTAAATAAACTTGTAAAGCATTGTTTCAATATTTAAAAAACAATAATGAAGGCAAACCTACAGACAATGTAGCAATAGCAATAAGCTAAATTGTCAATTTCAGAGAGAAAAATCTCTCTGTGCTGTTGTTTAATGAATTCTCCTCAAGACTTAACATGAGGAGCACTTCATTACGGGTCAATTTAGGAGTGAGAATATATTGATTTTTATGCATATACAATTATTTTCATAACCAGACAGAAGCAGCTTGAAGATTCTTTCAAACGGCCAGTCTGGACCAACAAAGATCTGGAATGTTGCTACCACAAAGTAACTTCAAACAGAATGTCCAAGTTTAGTATTAGGCAATCTCAAAAGGAAAATGACTCCACTGGAGTGAACTTTTGTAAGCCAACAGATTCATCATAAATCTAATGATGAACTGTCCTAATTTATTACAAGTCCAAAAAAGGGTGTATACACGTTCACTTATCGTTTACCTGTGGAAATGTCAGAAAGTAGTAGAAAAATAAAATAAAATTCCAAATAATCCAAATATAGACAAGCCCTGTTCATTCAAATTCAATCTATAGAAAATTCTAATCTTCTAAACCAAACAGATGGAAAAAACATCCTAGAGTATATCAGACTGTAGCCTTAGATATTACTTGAATTCAATTTAATAAAGTATTGCTTCAATAATCCCATGTTTACTAAAAGAATAAACAAAAATAAAAGGAGAAAAGCAAAATTCTAAATTCTACAAATATAAAGAATCCCAGGAATTTATTATTTCAGCAAAAGGCATATCACCAAAAATGCTGAAGTTTGAGAAGTTCCGCAAGCACTGAACATGCTTAAAGTATAGGTGGGGATTAATGCTCAGCATATACAACATCATTAAAGCATCAATTGTCTAGCAAGTCATAAAGCAGGCCACCAAAAGTTTTCAGAAGACTATTGAGGTTCCTTCCGCACAAGAATGCATTTGATATTATATTGCTACAACAGGACTCACTGCAGACAAAGTAAGGACTCCTGAAGGAGTTGATATATAGTACCTTCCACCAAACATGCTGCCTAACATGGTATACAACATTAGTCAAAAGATTAGAGTTGCCTAATGGCTTTTCTATTTCCTTCTTCCACCTAAAAAAAAACAAAAACAAAAAAACCATACTATCTTGAACTTGATTGTTTTTTTAAATTTCCGGTGTCACTTTTCTTGAGGAAAAGAAAACAATCAAAGGATTTATAAATCCCACAAAGAATAGTTCTTTATTTTTATTCTTCTCATTCTCCTAAAAAGTAGAGTAATCATGGATCCACAGACATAAGATACTCTGTGGATACTTTTCTGCCTCTGACATGCAACTCAAGAGACAGGAGTCTGGCATTTCTACACCCAAACTCCTAACAAGCACCTTTCATGTTTTCAATACTCTTGATTCTAGGGCCTACAAGATAAATTGATTTTAAAATTCATCTACAAGTGAATACCACTCTTGTGTCAAAACAACCAATTTATATGTGTGTATGTGTGTGTGTGTATATATATATATATATATATAGTCATTCTTTTAATAAGAGGATGGAGAGTAACTTCAGTTTCCATGGTTGTTTAGGCCAGACACAAGTTCAGAAAATCCCAAAACTATTTATGATT